GCATATAACAGCAAAAACGACATGTCCTAACATGTGTATGCATTTGGCACTGACTGCAGGGACTAAACTGCAAGTGGATCGATTTTCCCAAAGTGCCATGGGCTGCCTGTTTGGATGCGGTGGTTACATACCATTCTGGTTTATACTGAGCACCAGGAGCATTTCTTACATAATGCTCTTTTGATTCAGTCTTGCTTTCTGATCTCTACTCTCACAGTGCTGCCCCCCTATTGTAAAGCTCCCCTCTTGAGCTGGGAGAATGAAGCCTTGTCCCACTCTTGAGCTGCTGGGAACGGTACACTATTGTCCGCTTTGGCATCCCCACGGAGCAAGGTGCGAGCGACATTGTCTTCCCTGGATTTTCTGCTGCTTTTCCGCTAACAGAAACAAAGCTTTTCCCAAGGATTCCAAATCAAGTCCCCAATCGAAATCTTAATTGGTAACACAAAGTACAGCCACTGGTTGTTGGACAATTTCCAAAGAGGCTTTTTTTCCCCCCCTTAAGCACCAGGCTGAAAAACACACGGTTGGGAGGAAAACAAACAAACCGACCCTCCCAGTCACACATGTTTCAATGGGGCTGGCCTTGGGCTCCGAGACAGAAAGCTCCTATCCCTACAGGACGGCACACGTACATGAAATGGGCTGGGGGTTCTTTTCATCCTGCTTTCCAAAGGCCTCACTGCCTTTGTTTCATTTTCAAATTCTCTCCTAGGGAGAGAGCCATACAAACTTTATCCCAGGATAACAACTCGATGCTACTGTTCACGTTTACAACTTCCAAATGGGCAGCCCTGCCAGACTGAGCAAAATCAACGAGGTGCTACATTTTCCATTGAGAAAAAGCCAAGAGTCCTAGACACTCAGTCTAGCAAATTGAATTTCTCATTGGCAGTTCTATGCTGACACTAGTGTTATCAGATTGAGCAAGCCGAATTGTTCTGCAAATTCAAAAGAAATGTCTATAGAACAGTTAGAATATTTCTGGAAGTAAGCTTATCATATGAATGCTAATACAAACACACACATATGTATGAGGTGACTTCTAAAAAGTTCATGGAAAAATGAAATGAAAAGATGATGGAAGTTTCCCATGAACTCTGAAGCTCCCTCCCATAAACCCACTCATTTCTGTTGAGAAGATTGTAACTCAGGACAAGCCTATGGGATAGAGCAGAACTGCCCCAAAGGGTTTCCAAAGCTGCAATCTTTATGGGGACTGATGGTGGACCCATGGGTGCTAGCTTGAGTGCTAACCACAAAGTCACCAGTTGGAACACATCCAGGGACTTTGCGGGAGAAAGACTTTGCAATCTGACTGCCTAGAAAACCCTACCGGGCAGTCAGATTCTGCCTCACAGGGTCATGGTAGAGATGGTGGTGGCAATGTGCCATGGAGTTGGTTCTGACTCATTGTGACCCTGTACAGGGTTTTCTGAGGTTGTAAATCTTTATGGGAGCAGAAAGCCTCATCTTTCTCCTGCAGAACTGCTGGTAGTTTCGAACTGCTGACTGTGAGGTTAGCAGCCTGACTCATAACCACTACGCTAGCAGAGCTCCTTACAGGGCACTAGGAGCTTGAGTTGATTCAACATCACCTAACAACAACAATAACAATCTTTATAGGATAATAACCAGCTTTCTCCCTGGTTTGAACCACGGATCTTTTGGTTCGCAGCCAAGCAAGTGCTTAACCACTGTACCACCAGAGTGCCTTACACATACACATAAACCAAAAAGCAAATCCACTGTTGTCAAGTTGATTCCGACTCATAACGACCCTTTATAGGGTTTCCAAGACTGGAAATTTTTGCTGGAACCGAAGAAGACTCCTGTTTCTCCTACAGAGTGGCTGGTGGGCTCGAACCACCAACCTTGTGGTTGACAGGCCGGTGCCTTTTCTACAGAGCTACTATACTTCTCTTTAAAAAATAGTGACACATTAAAATTGACATTTGATAGAGCTAACATTGGCAACAGATTTACATTTTATATCTTCTTATTGTGTTTCTTTTTCAAATATTGCTAATTTATCTTTTTTTTTTTTAATTGTGCAGGGATATTCCATCACACCACATAGAATGCATAAATCAAAGAGGCCATGTGGATACCAGCAAGGAAAAGCAGAAGTGGCAAGAATTGAATAGTTTCAAATACCTGCTGGGTTCATCTATGGGATTCCTAAGACTGGAGATCCTTATGGGGAAGAAAGTCTCATCTTGATCCAGCAGAGCTATTGGTGGGTTCAAACCACTGACCTTTCAGTTAGCAGTCCAGTGCTTATCCTACCATGCTAAGACTTCTTGTTGCAGTTAAGTGCCATCGAGTTGGTTCCGACTCATAGCAACTCTGTATATAGAGTTTCCAAGGAGTGGCTGGTGAGTTTGAACCAACGACCTTGTGGTTCAAACAGACCTTTATCCCACAGTACCCTACTGGGACTCCCCAGGGCTCCTCCACACACATACGTGTATACATATATGTAGTATGATGGCCACTACCAATATTTTCCCTCTTTCGCCTTCCTTCTGTCTTTGCCTCTCTTTCTCCCTTTTGATAACCACACTGAGAGGACTCACCGTCCATGAGTCCTTTCTGCCACAGCCGAACACAGGGCTAACAGCCCCAAGGCTTTGTGCCCACATCAAGGCCGTGTCTAGATCGGAAGTCCAGCCCCGTGGCCCCCATTGATGGGAAGATCCATCTCACAGGAACCTCTGCTGAGTCCCTATTCCTGATGGCGGTTCCTGTTCACCAGCAAGGCAGCCTTGCAGAACAGCTTCTAACCAGGGTGCAGGCAGGTCAGGGTGTCGCTGAGAGGATTGATGGTGAGTGGACACTGAGGCCAGCTTGGGGACCTGGGTGGGGAGCAGCCTGGCAAAGGGAAAGAGTAGGCCTGGAGCCAGAGGGGTGGGTTTCGCCTTTCTCCCTCACTTTCCAGTGTGGGAACCTTGGGCAAGTGACTCTGCTTCTCTGAGCCTCTGTTTCCTCACTGGCAAAAGAGGGACCGATAATATCAACCTTGCAAGGTTGTTTAAAGGACTAGAGGTAATATTCTCAAAACAAAGCAAACCCCTGACAGTTAGGCCTTTATGTCTTTTTGTTGTTGTTGAGTGCCATTGAGTCACTTCCAACTCATAGAACTGTGTTTTACTGCCCAGTTTTGCTTCTGCAGTCCGTTTCAGAAATCCCATTTCCTGTAGCTTTGTTGTTGTTAAGTGCAGTTGAGTCGGTTCCGACCTGTAGCGACTCTGTACAGTGTTTCCAAGGAGCAGCTGGTGAATTTGAACCACTGACCTTAAGGTTCAAACCGCCTTTGCAGTCCACCGCATTAGGCCACGGTGCCACACCAGGACTCCTGTAGTGTTGGTGTGTGTGGTGTGAAGTGCCACCAAGTTGGTTCCGACCCACAGCAACCCTGTATAGGCTTTCTAAGGAGCAGCTGGTAAGTTTGAACCATGGACCTTGAAGTTCAGATGGCTTTGCAGTCTGACGCATTAGCCCACAGCGCCACACCAGGGCTCCTCCTACCCCAAATACGTGTTTCAGATATTAGTACTTAAACGCAATTTGCCAAGAATTCTAACCATCATGCCAATGAATCCAGCAGGGTCAGAGAGAACCTTGGACAGTCTTTTAGGTGACGGAAGACACTGCAGTATATCCAAAGAGCCTTGGGACCAAACACAGAGAAAAGATAAAATTACAGTAATGACACTTGACGTTCACTCTTAAGAATATCAAGCATTATTGACTCAAAGCTGCAATGATACTTACAATTGTGTTTTTACTTCCTTTGTTTTGCTTTGAAAAAAAACAACAACAACAGTTCTTTTCTTTTATTTAAATTCCAAATATTAAAGAGGTATGAATTAGGAAGTTCAGGTGTGGTGTTGTAGGATAAACACTGAACCACAAGGACAGTTTGAACTGCAAGGACAGCGGTTCAAACTCACCAGCCGTTCCTCAGAAACTCTGTACAAGGTAGATAGATATGAGTTGGCGTTGACTTGTTGGAACTTAACAACATCACTTTTTTAAAGGAGTCCTGGTATGACACTGTAGGATAAGCACTAGACTGTTAATCACAAGGTCAGCAGTTCAAGCCCACCAGCCGCTTCTTGGAAACCCTATACAATGCCGCTATGAATTGCAACCGACTTGATAGCACTTAACCACAACAACATTAACTGCCTGTTACGTGAAAAGGTCAATATTATCCATCTTCCAACACCTAGATAAATAAAACCACTGCCCAGTCTCCACTGCTGCCAATTAGAATCCAGAGGGGCTGGATGTGAAAGGAAGCCTAGAATTTCATTTTCAAATTCTAAAGAGTCATGCAAAACCCATTTTCTTGAATACAGAAGTAGAACTCTATCGGATAAAACCAATGAAAATAGGTCTGTTGTGCATGGACACTTGAAAGTGGGGCCAGGAGACTGTCACGGCGTCGAGCACCAATGCCTGGAAGCCCACTGGGCATCCTCGGTGTGTTCTGTTGTACATCAGTGTGCCAGCCATCTCCACAGGCACCTCCGCACTCTTATAACAAGCCCATGAGGTCGCACCAATAAGCAGAATTTTGTGCTCCAGAAGATAACCATCAAGCCTTTCATTTTCCAAAGTCTGAGAGCACAACGTCAGCTTGACCTGCAAGGTTAATGGTTCAAACCCACCAGCCGCTCCTCGGAAGCCCTATGCAGGGTCACTATGAGTTGGAACCTTCATTTAATAACAACAGTAACAGATGCTTCGAGTCCTGGTGTGGCGCTATAGGATAAGCACTGTGTTGTACAGTCAGGTTTGCACTGTAAGGTAGGTGGTTCAAACCCACCAGTTGCTCTTCGGAAACCTATACAGGGTCACTATCAGTTGGTACATACTCAACAGCACTTAACAACAACATCAACAAACTCTTAGAAGCGTGGCCTGGCATATAACATACAAGATTTTGATAAAATAAGAAGAACAGAAATGTTCAGAGGCAACTGTGACCTTGGTGGTCAGCACCAATAGTCAGAATCCCACCTATAGATGTGACTTCCAAGTAGCAATGTGGCCATGTTCTTAAAGATGAAAGTTTATGACAGGCAAGGTGATAAGAATTTTGCTATGTTCTGAGCATGGACCTTGAGAACAGCAAAATTCATCTTTATGTAAGTTATTTATTTTCTAAAGAGAACTGGAAGTAAAAATGCAAAATGGCACGCTGTGGGGTTTTAGCCAAGGAGCTTTCAAAGACAATATGATAAAGTTTCTTTTCTTTTAAATAGCAGAATAATAAATTTATACATTTATACAATTTCTGACCTGGCGATACACCCAATATTGTACTTTTTATAAGCTTTAATACAGACCATTGTAAAGTGTTTTCTATTTGGAGTCCTGGTGTGGCACTGTAGGATAAGCACTGGACTGCTAACTGCAAGGTTGACTGTTCATACCTACAAGCAGCTCCTCAGAAACCCTACACAGGGTTGCTGTGACTTGGAACTGACTCAATGGCCCTGAACAACAATATATATAAAATGGTTGTTGTTAAGTGCCATCAAGTCGGTTCCAGCTCATAGCAACCTTATAGAGGGTTTCTAAGGAGCACCTGGTGAGTTTGAACCGCTAACACTGCAGTTCAAACTGACCTTGTGGTCCAATGCTCATCGTACAGCACCACAACAGGACTCCAGAGCCAAAACACTTGTCCTGAAATCTGAGCTGGCAATGCTTTTGGAATACGCTGCAGCTGTGCCTTGCCTACCTTTTGGTTGTCGGCATGGCTGTCTCTTTCCTGGTCCCGGAGGGGGATGGTAGAGAGCCGGTTGGTTTCTTTGGTAACACGGTTCCGTTGTTGACAGTGGTTCTTAAGGGCAGTGTCTGCACCAGCGGTCTTGCTGCAAGATAAACGGAAAAGGAAATCAGAACTCTGCCTCTGGGTGGAACTGAAGATTCGCAGTAGGAAAAACATCAACTCAAGCACAAGAGCATGACCGACAGGGTGCAAAGCAAGAAGCAATCCGTGGACTAAGAATCGGGCTTACAACCATGGCGCTGTTACAGCGAACCTAGACACAGATGCTCCACCCCAAAATGAATGCAAAATGACCACAGACCTAAATGTAAAACTTCTAGAAGAAAAACACGGGAAAGATAGCTCCACGATTTTGGGTCTTTAGACACAAAGAACAGAATCCACGAAAGAAAGAAAAAAACTTGTCAAGTTGGGCTTAATGACAATGAAAAGACCTCGGCTCTTTGAAAGACACTGAGACGAGAATGAACAGGCAAGGCACAGGCTGGACTGAAATTTCTACAGTGAAAAATAACTAATTAATAAAAATAGGCAAAAAATCTGCACACACCTCACCAAAGAAGACATGCACACGGCCAATACGCAGATGGTAAAATGCTCAATGTCTTTTGTCATCAGGAAAATGGGAATAACACAGAGATATTTCTACACATTCAGTACCTAACCCACTGCCGTCGAGTGGATTCCGACTCACAATGACCCTTCATATATGACGCCAATCTTTAAAGGAGCAGATGGCTGGTGAATTTGAAGTGGTGACTTGGTGGTTAGTAGCCCAGTGCTTATCTTACACCAATACTAGGGCTCCTTACGTAGTCCTGGTGTGGCGATGTGGGTTAGCGCTGGACTGCAAGGTTGGTTTGAATGTCACCAGCCACTCTTCAGAAATCCTATACAGAGTCGCTATGAGTTGGATCTGACTCGACGGTACTTAACACCAACAACAGGGCTCCTTACACACCAACTAGAATGGCTAAAATCCAGAATAAGCAATGGAATATCAATTGCTGGAGAGGCATGTGGAAAACAGGGCCTCTCTCATTCACTGCTGGTGGGGTCCCAATATAATATGGCGCAGCCACAGTGGAAAACAGTCTGGGACATTCTTATAAAGCAAAGCCGTCTTAATCCAGGACCCAGTAACTCTATTTCCAGCAACTGACCCATCTGATAGCTCCACAAAACCTATGTCAATGTTTCTAACAGCCTTAGTCACAATAAAAAAAAAAAACAAGCAAACAAACCTGGAAGCCATCAGAATGCCCTACAGCTGGTAAAAGGATAAACACTGTGGGGCATTTATACCACAGAATATGACCAGCAAACAAATGGAATGAACTAGTCCACACAACAACATGGAGGCACCGTAACTACACTTTTAAGTTAGATATATCAGTATGAAAAGGCTACACATGCGTTCTGATTCTGGAAAAGGCAAAAGTAAAACAAAACATGGGGACAGAAACTGATCAGTCATTGTCAGAAGTTTGGGGAGGAAAGGGGGCGTTGAGGAAATGAAGCCCAGGAGATAATTCTGTATGATACTTTGGGGATGGATTTTGTTGTAGGTGCCGCTGAGTCAGTACTGACTCATAGCGACCCTACACACAGCAGAATGAAATACTGCCTCTCACAATCATTGCTATACATGAGCTCACGGCTGTTACAACTGTGCCAATCCATCTCGTTGGGGGTCTTCCTATTTTTTGTTGACCCTCCACTTTACCAAGCATGATGTCTTTCTCCAAGGACTGGTTCCACTGGAAATATCCAAGGCATGAGAGACCAAGTCTGGCCATCCCTTCCTCTAAAGAGCATTCTGGTTGAACTTCTTCCAATAAAAGATTTGTTCTTTTTGGTGGTCCATGGTACTCCCAACACCATACCTCAAATGCATCAGTTTTTCTACAGTCTTTAATCACTGCTCAACGTTCATACACCTATGAGATTATTGAAAATACCATGTGCTGAGGTGGTGGGTATGGGAAACGTCAAATCCCAGAGAACCTCATGACCCAAAGTGTGAACCTTAGTGCACATGCACATTTAAAAAAATCAACTAGTAAATTGGGAGTGCCCTGATGGAATGTGAACTGTGACAGAAGACTCTAACTGTATCACAACCATAGACTACCACCTCATTGGATGGAGGGGTTCTGACCTCAGTCTCTTTGGACAAAAGTGAAGACATAGCACTAAAGATGAACTGTACATCAGTGTTGTACTGTACTTGATAAAGTTGCTTCCCAGAGGGGAAGGGCTCAATATTACATGGTATCCTGGAACAGAAAGGGATTTTAGTGGAATATAAGGAAATTCAAATAAAGCATGGGCCTTAATTACCAGCAATGTGCCAATATTGGGCCACTGGTGGTGGTGTGCCGTGGAGTCAGTTCTGACTCATAGCGACCATGTCTAGGATTTCCAAGGCTATAAATCTTTATGGGAGCAAAAAGCCTCATCTCTCTCCTGCAGAAGAGCTGGTAGTTTCGAGCTGCTGACCTACAGGTTAGCAGCCTGACTCTATGCTACCAGAGTACGCTACCAGAGTTGTGACAAATGGCCCAGTGTGGCACTGTAGCATCAGCACTGGACTTCGAACCACAAGGTCGGAAGTTCAAACCCACCAGCTGCACCTTGGAAACTCTATACAGAGTCACTATGAGTTGGAACTGACTTGACGACCCTAACAGCCATGTAAAATACTAATAATGGGAAACTGGGTGCAGGGTATTAGAGAACTTGGCTGTATTCTACTTGTAACTTTTCTGTAAATCTAACACCAATCTAAAATGAAAAGTTTATTAAAAATGCCAGCAAAGTTTAGTTTGTTCACCACAGAATTTGTCATAACTTAGTAGAAAAAATGTGATGGCGTATTTCATGGATTGAGTTGTATTCCTCAAAATCATGTGTCAGATTGGCCGGGCCATGGTCTTGGTGGTTTGGTAGTCACCTAAAGATGCTGTGTTATTTCTGAAATGATGCCATCATGTCCCTTAATATGATCTGATGTGATTAGTCAATCCATTCTAGGGGATTCCAGTGGGATGGGTACTCTTACTCATTACAGCCCTGATGTGAGGCAAGGGGGGTTTCCCTGGGGTGCATCAACTTTTATCTTACAAGAGATCAAAGGAGAGAGAAGCAAACAGAGAGGAGGGGCCCCAGTACCACCAAATGCAAGAGCTAGGAGCACCATTTGGACTGAGGGTCCCTGTGCTGAGAAACTCCTAGACCCAAAGTAAGATTGGTGACAAGGGCCTTCCCCCAGAGCTGACAGAGAGAGAGCTTCCCTATGGCCAGGGCCCTGAATTTAGACTTCTAGCTTCCTACACTGAGAGAGAATTGCATTTATTTGTTAAAACCATCCACGTGGGGAATTTCTACTATAGCAGCACCAGATAACTAAGGTTGTTACTGTGTGCCATGGAGTGGGTTCTGACCCATAGTGACCCTGTATAGGGTTTCCAAGGAGCAGCTGGTGAGTTTGAATTGCCTACCTTGCAGTTCAAACTAATCTGCATACCAGGACTCCAACTAAGATAGCATGTTGTTGTTAAGCGTCGTTGAGTTGGTTCCAACCCATAGTGACCCTGTTTAGGGTTTCCGACGAGTGGCTGGTGAGCTTGAACCACCAACCTTGTGGTTCAAACTGACTTTGCAGTCCAGCGCATTAACCCACAGCACCACACCAGGACTCCGTACAGCTATTTAAAACGAACCGTTCCAATCCAGAGGCTCTCTGCTCCAATTTAGGCTATTAAAAACATCACCAACAATAACATCGAAAAGTGAACGTTATGGTGAATTTTCACTACCCTAGAAACATAAGTTTTCAATATGAAAAAAAGTGGAAAAGCCAGTCTTGCCTTCTCTTTCAGCATAAATCATGCCTTCTCCTTGATTAGCGATCTTTCTTCATGTCCTGAGCACCTGCTCCAATTTATGCTGTTGTTAGGTGCCACCAAATCAGTTCCAAATCATAGTGACCTTATGTACAATAGAATGAAATACCGCCTGGTCCCGTGCCACCCCCACAATGGTTACTGTGTTTGTACCCAGTGATACTGCCACTGTGCCAATCCATTTCATTGTGGTAGCTCCTCTTTTTCATTGACCCTCCACTTTACCTAGATGATGCCCTTCTTCAAGGACTGGTCCTTCCTGATAATATGTCCAAAGTAAGAGCTTCTAAGGAACATTCTGGTTGTATGTCTTCCAAGAAAGACTTTTCGTTCTAGCAGTCCATGGTACTCTTAATATTCTTCTCCAACACTATAATTCAAATGCATCAATTCTTCTACAATCGTCCTTATTCATTCTCCAACTTTCACATGCATATGAGGCAACTGAAAATTCTCTGGCTTGGGTCAGGCCCACCTTAGTTCTCAAAGTGACATCTCTGTTCTTAAGCACTTCAAAGTGGCCTTGTGTAGCAATCTGCCTAATGCAATCCGTCATTTGATTTCTTGACTGTTGCTTCAATGAGTGTTGATTATGGATCCAAGCAAAATGAAGTCTTTGCCGACTTCAATCTTTGTCCCATTTATCATGATGTCATTTACT